GAAGCACGTGGAAACTAACGTGCTGTGCCAATCAAAATGGCACTTCGGAGTCACCGCGCTCATGCACACCAATGGAGAACAAACTACGGTTTGGTGCTAAAAAACTGCATGAAATTTTCAGAAAAGCTGCTGTTTTCTAAAAGCTGTGCTGTGTAGGTTTGTGGGCACTTGCTTCCAAACTCCTGAACTAGGTGTGCCTCTCATGCAAGATTCGAATTTGGGAGCATGCAGTCTTTCGTAGCCTAGTGACGTGGGAAAAGGGACATGTTAAAGCTGCAAAATGGCTGATTGGCATAGTCTTTAGTCTTTTTTCCTGAGTGGTGTTGCATAGACACCATACCTGCTTATTCGGATGGAGAAGAGGGGATACAATCCTATCGTGAACCGTAGGGCCCGATGCGCTCATCCGGCCACGCGGCCCGGTGCGCAATCCAGGGGTCGGGCCGTTTCTGAAGGTCTTGTGCTCAATCCAGGGATCGGGCCATTTCTGAAGGACTCGTGCGCAATCCAGGGATCGGGCCGTTTGTGATGACAAGTGTCGGACCTCGGCAGCTAGAGCAGCTGAAGGGGTGAAGGCATCTGCTCGGTTCAGGTCAGTGGCCATTCCCCAAATCTGTAGGCGATCTCGAGGTTGTTCGATCCATAGGTGTGGTGGTGATCGATCGAGAAGCTACCATCATCACGGTTTCCAGCATTGGCCCCGAAGAAAACCTGCTTCGGCTCATGCGAGCAAGATTCGGTCATGGAAGCTGCATAGGCGAATTAATATCATGGCTTATTGCGACTAGTATTGATTCAAATGTTTACTTTTTTGGAATATTGTGATGACAGTCTTAGAAAGGTAAACCTATCACAATTATTCCATTTCTAGGTTATAATGTTCGCAACTTCCCGAGCCCAAAGTCAGGCACCTCTCAAACCATGCCATTTATAAGATAATAGGGAGCGGGCGGGCAAACTGAGGCATTCGCTTCAGTTTTGCCTTCATCCACATAACGACACTAGTCTGATGTGATGTGATAGCAAGATGAGTGCTATCATATTGCTCATCTGACGCCGTAAGGGTTTCTTAGTAGTGAATAAGAACCCATATCATGGAGAATTTCGGACCTAATAAATTGTGTCGTTCACAGCCATAAAGAACATGTACCATTGACCATGTCGGCCGGCGGGGCTGGGGTCCGCGCCCATCGGTGGCGACCCGTGCCCTATCCCCACTGACCACCCCTCTGTAGAAGCTCACATCGCTTATGGCGGATCGCGGGCGACTAGACACACTGCCTGGTGTCGGACGGAGCGGTGTCGGAGCACAGGATCAGGGCAGCGCGGCGGGTATCTGTGGATCGTCCGTAGCAGTGGCGTCCCCCACACGTCTTCCAGTCCCTGCCGGCGTCCGGTGGCGCGGTGCCGGACGGCGGTGCCTAGAGCTTGGCCTCCACTGCCCGGTGCGTGGCGCCTCCGAAGCCCCTCCCCCGCCACCCTCCCAATCTCCGGTCTTGAGCTCCGCTCCACCGGCCCGTGCCGACGGACGCATCGGCTGAACACGACCGCCTGGGAACGGTCGGACCAGGGTGAAGCCCGATCGCGCACACCCACTGTAGTGTCTCGATCGCTCGACGTGGGTACTGAGATCGGGCGCAAGATCCGGGATGTCTCCTGTCCTTTTCCGTTCGGGTGCATCAATTATTGTTGCCGCACCGTGGATTCGGTGTTTCTGCTGGGTGTTCTGCTTTCGTTCCGTTTAATCGCTCTTCTAGCGTAATTACACAGAATGACAATCGAAGCCGGCGCGTCCTCATCCCATTGCGCGTCCCATCAGTATCATCACCGCTCTCCGGGCTAGGTGGCACAAGGATAGAAGACCGACACGCTGACGTTGCCTGCGTACATGGCCTGTGGCATGGTAGCCTACGCTACAGGCCCGAACTGAGGCCTGTTGTTTTGTCCGCAAGGCCGAGTGGTCGGTGAATATTCGGCGCGTACTGTGGTATGGGGCTTGCTGAAATAACCCTTACGTACAAGGGCCGAGCGGCGGAGTTTCATTTATGCGCCGTCCGCATGCCAGATCTATCCGCACTCGATTGGGCGCCAGGAATAGCAGCGCCCCCGGCGTCGTGGGGTGGGGGACAGCGTGTGGTGTGGGGGTCCGGCGGCTCCCCCTGGCCGGCCGTGTCCTGGGCAGGGTCCGGCGGTGGGCAGCGATTGGCGGCAGGCGGGGGTTGCGCCGGCCGCCGCCGCCGCCGCCGCCGTCCGTTTGTGCGTGGGTGCGGCAGCGGGCGCGTGTGTCATCGACGTCGACCGGCCGTCACCGCCGCCATCTCAGCACGATGTCGGCCTGGCCGCGGGAGAGGCGCCACCGCGGCGTCGTGCTCCACATGACACGCATGCTCGCTAAGCTGTACACGCGTCGCGGCCAGCGCCGCACACCGTTCGGCTCTCTGTGCATCGGCGAGTCTGCGCGCACGGGCCAGATGGTGTTGCTGCGGTGGGCGCCGCGGCAGCCAGCCGACGGGTTCAACGCCAACGACGAGGATGTGCAGCGAGCGGGCGCGCGGGGCGCGCCGGCCCGCGAGGAGCTGCTCTTTAGCCGGCGCTGGCACTTTTGCCGCGACGTTGGGCCGGGCTCGCCGCAGCTGCTGGACGAGTGGTGGAGGTTCGGCGAGCTGGGCAGCTGGCCGAGGGTGCCGTGGCGGCCCGAGGACGAGGAGCCGATCTCGGCGTTCGGTCGGCTCGACGGCCGGCCGTGGCAGCTGGAGACGCTGTACTGGTGCGGCGCCGCTGAGTGCGAGTGCACGCGCACCCGGTGGCAGCGGCACCAACGGTTCGCGTGGCCGCCGCTGCGGGACCCGTGGTGGCGGCTGAGCGACGAGGCGCGCAAGACCGGCGGATGGCGGACATCGCCCACCGCCGGCATGCTGCCCAACGACTGGCTCGACGACGACCAGGTGCGCGCCCTGGTGGCGGACCCGGACTTCGGCTACTCGGAATGGCAGGAGCACGACGAGCGACGTGAGTTTTCGGTGGCACGGCGCCGATGCGTCTCGGTTGGTCTGGCCATGGGCGATTGCCTGGGGGGGGGGGGGGGGGGGCGCCCGGCCAGGTGAGGACGGTCGGCTGGCCCGCGTCCATCTCCATCGGCCTGTCGTCCAAAATGGCGCCGGCTGGCCTCCCGCGGCATTTTGGGGGTGCTGCGGGGGCGGGTGCGAGGCGGTCTTGGCTCGCGACGGAAGGGTGGGTGGCAGTGGTATGTCTTATGCGGTGTTCGGAATCAGAACGTGCGCAAAATCCGCATGACATAGTCCGCTCTGCCCAATCCGAAGTATTATCACGATTCCTCGGCGCTGCCAGTCCTGGCGCCGTGGTCGTGCTGCCAGGTGGCAGCACTGGCGGCAGGTCTCGCATGACACAAGTCCGGGCGGTCCACCCCGTATTACCGCCACGCTTCGTTCGCACCGCCGCCGGTGGCGCTGTTGTCGTTCCACCAGGTGGCAGCACTGGCTTCGGATCTCTCGCCCGTCCCAAGTCACGTGACTGGGGCACGGCGTTTGTTTACGGTCATTGTTTCCTCCCTTCCTAAGAACTGGTCGCGACATAAACCCGCATCCATGAACAGCGAGCGGATCTAGGACCGCCCGGTGTTGATTTTGGACCAGCCGCACTATTCATAGCCAGCCACTGCTGGCTCTCGAGGCCGGTTGTTGCTTTTCCTGGAGCTCTCGGCTGGTAGCTGGCAGCTGCCGGTTTTGACGTCACGTGTTGAGTGACCTTCCCCGCTGCCTGATGACGTGCGGAACGACTTACTCACCGCGTCACTTCATACCCGCCGGCCAACATGTTCGTGTTCTGAATCAGCTTCATCGAACGATGATGTATGATTTTGCTGCCTGCTTGGGTGAATGTGGGTAGAGACGGATCATGGTGCGCGCTTTAAGACCGATTAGCTGCAGATTAATTTTTCCTCGAATTATACTTCCGGTCATGTTTGTTTCCAAGCATCTATCGCTGCCTCATATATATATATATATATATATATATATATATATATATATATGTATATATATATATGTATATATATATATATATATGTGTGTGTATATGGCTGGTTATAAACATATATTCATTGTAGTTGATGCCGGGAACGCCTTACGCGATGTGGCACGCTTAGTTGTGTGCCAAATGTGTCCAATCACGTTATCACTGGACCGGGCGCTCCCTCGGTGGATAGCGTGTTAACCGCGCGTGTCTCGGGCTTCAAACACTGACTGCTCCGCCGTGGGTGCGCGGGAAGCTGCCCGTAAGCGTGGGTCGTTGTCTTCCCGTCGCGCCTTCAGACCCCAGCGGCGAGTATTACACGTGTGGCGTCTGTGACGGCACCGGCCGCCTCGCTGACCAGCCGCTGCTCCGGTGGCAGGGGTGACGGCACCGGCCGCCTCGCTGACCAGCCGCTGCTCCGGTGGCAGGGGTGACGGCACCGGCCGCCTCGCTGACCAGCCGCTGCTCCGGTGGCAGGGGTGACGGCACCGGCCGCCTCGCTGACCAGCCGCTGCTCCGGTGGCAGGGGTGACGGCACCGGCCGCCTCGCTGACCAGACGCTGCTCCGGCGGCAGGGTGACGGCACCGGCCGCCTCGCTGACCAGACGCTGCTCCGGCGGCAGAGGTGACGGCACCGGCCGCCTCGCTGACCAGACGCTGCTCCGGTGGCCAGGGTGACGGCGGTTTGCGGCCGACCGCTGCCGAACGGAGCGGCCACGGTCCCGTTACGGCCACAATCGCGCCGATCCCTCGCGCCGGACGTTTCGTGCTCGAGTTTCGCCCGGGCGCGGGCCGGTCGCGGCCGCGTCGATTCCCGCAGCTCTGGGCACCGGCGGTCTCGCCCGCCGCCGCCGGTGGGCGCCAGCCGGTCTCGTGCGCTGGCAAATCCGGCTGCTCCAGTCAGCTGGGGGTGCCGTGCTGCTGCCTGTGCAGCCGGCGGCCCGACGACGGCAGTTGGAGCGCGACGCTCGCGGGGCTGAGAGAGGCACAGGAGGGCTGACGACACACAGGCTCGCGGTGCTTTTTCGCTCGTCACGCCGCCGGCGAACCATCTGTCAACCGAAGAAGAGGAACGAGACCGCTGTCATCGTGAGAAGAGAACCAGCCGCTGCTGGATCTCCCGACCCGGACACCTGTCAGTCAAGACTCGTGGTTGAACACGAACTCGGAGCGTACGTGCGCAGCAGGCGACAGAGACAGTAGCCAGCGATGGGCTCTGCCGAGCTGGAGGCGATGGCGGGCGCCGGCGGCGGCGCCAAGCCGCGCCGCCGGCGCCGCTGCCCGCCGAACGTGATGCGCGAGTACCGGCCGCCGCCGCCGCCCGTCAACAACGCTGTGCGCGGCTGCGCCTCCTCCGACCCGGCCACCGTCAGCGAGTGCGACTCGGCGGCGCTCGATGACGCCGCCTCCGCCGCCGCTGCCGGCGACCACCTGCGCGCCGGTACGTGGGCCACCCTGGGAGCGGTGCGGGCACTGTGCCGCCGTGGCGGACCGCCGGGGACGGAGGACGGATCGGCGGCGCTCTGGGAGCGTGACGGCCGACTGTGGCGGCCGCCAGGTGGTTGGCTGTACAGGTCGCAGGCGGGCGCGTGGATCGGCTCGGTGTTGATCAGCTGAAGCCGCCTGCAGTTGCCTTTGCTGGGACTAGTGGTCCGCTGGCTGGTGCGCGTGGTGCGCTGGCAGGACGCCGGCGCGTAAGGCACCGAAGCACCGGCCGCCGCCACCGGCCGGTGCCTGGCGGACCGGCCGTGGCGCGTGCTCGCCGGAGGCCAGCCTGACCGGTTTTCTGTTGACGTTGCGGCTAGGGCAGGGGCCTGCTGGGGGTGCCCGGGCGGCCGCGTTTGGGCCGAAGTGGTTCTTGTCGCCTGTTATACCTGTCAGAGACTGGTCCACGTGGTCCGAGGCTTCACGCACGCTCCATATTGCCGACTCCGTTCAGACGTTAGCGACGTTAGTAGTATTCGTCTGCATGTATGTGGTCGAGGCTGCCCTGATGCATCAGATCGTTGTCCACGAAAGCTGCACGAGCCGCAGCGATGCTCCCCGGGTCGCTCCGGCTGGCCTCCGGCCGGCTCAGCGATGCTCCCCGGGTCGCTCCGGCTGGTCTCTGGCCGGCTCAGCGATGCTCCCCGGGTCGCTCTGGCTGGCCTCCGGCCGGCTCAGCGATGCTCCCCGGGTCGCTCTGGCTGGCCTCCGGCCGGCTCAGCGATGCTCCCCGGGTCGCTCTGGCTGGCCTCTGGCCGGCTCAGCGATGCTCCCCGGGTCGCTCCGGCTGGCCTCCGGCTGGCCTCCGACCGGCTCAGCGATGCTCCCCGGGTCGCTCCGGCTGGCCTCTGGCTGGCCTCTGGCCGGCTCAGCGATGCTCCCCGGGTCGCTCCGGCTGGCCTCTGGCTGGCCTCCGGCCGGCTCAGCGATGCTCCCCGGGTCGCTCCGGCTGGCCACGCCGCCTCGCCTGTCGGCGCCGGCGGCCGGCGCCTGTTCTGGTCGCGCCATGTACAGACGCGGCCGAGTTCAGTCACCCCGGCGTGTCCGTCTGGCGCGCGCCGGCGCTGCCCGGCGCGCGACACGGCGGGAGCGGCCGGCCGGCGCCCGACTCCGCCCGGCTGGCCGGCCGGCGACCCACTTACGGGCCGCGCGGCCGGCCAACCTCTGGCCGGTGCTTCCGCCCGGCGACCGACCTGACCCGGCTGGCTGGGTGACCTCGCCTGACCCGGTCAGCTGGCCCAGTCATGCCGGTTATCCTGGCGTGACCTGGTCAGTCGGCTGCACGCCCGGGCCAGCGTGGCAGCGCTGGCTCGGTGTCTGCACCCGCGGGTCGATGTGACGGCGTACGTGGCGTCAGTGTGTCTCGCGCCGCCGGCTTCCATGGGTCATCACCGCACGTAGGGGCTGTCGTATGCCGATGTCTCACCCAACTAGCGTACCGTGGGCTGACGCGTCGAGCCTGACGTTTTGAAGTACCTGATCCTGTTTTCGGAGGCGTCGACCGTTTTATCACGCAGATTGCACGCGTGTTGGTTTGCCCCATTTTCACGGCTAACCGATAAGCGCCGCCCAACGGAGGACGGAAGGCGCGTCTGTTCCTGTCGCTCGTCCCAATGAAGTGTGTTTCGTTCCCGGTTAACCGGCGCCTCCTTCGTCGCAGGCCTGACCAAGTCGACCACCCGCGACAGCAATGGCAACCAGCGGGTGCGGACGCCGCTCTGCAAGGAGCTGACAGTCAGCCCGGACTATGTTCGCCCGCACCGGCTGGACGTGCTGCTGGACATGCCGTCGGCGCCGCACGACACGCAGCAGAAGCACGCCTGGAACGCCGACGACCGCAGCCTCAACGTCTTCGTCAAGGTATGTCAGCGTTGGGGCGGCAGGGTCAGGTTTGGACGGTGACGGGGCGGGGCAGGGAAGCGCAGGCAGGACGGACGTGACGGGGCGGGACAGAGCAGGGCCGGCTCCCCGTGTTGGGGCCGGGCGCTCGCTGTGGAGGCCCGAGCGCAGCGTAGTGACGCCAGCCCGGTCGTGTTGCGGGATGTGTGAGGCTGGCGCCTCGGTGGTCGTCCGATCCGTGTCAAGGCTGGGGAACGGGTTTGTCGCCGCGGCGCAGCCGTTCTTCCGCTGACAAATGGTGGCAGAGGCCGCGTCCGATCTGGACCTGGCTCAGATGACGGGGCGGAGCGCCCATTGGCGCCAGCTTAGCAAGCATGCGTGCTCTCCGGGTTTGCGTGCGCTGGTCGCTGGGTAGCAGCTTCGTGCAGGCTGACAGCAGCGTAGCGTTACGCTCAGGTGTGATTGCAAGTCATGCGAGATTACTAATTTTTTTTTTTAAACCCCTTACCCAGATACTGTTGGTTTCTGTTTATGACAAACAACACGTCCATTTTTAGTTTCGCATCTAGCTCAATTTGGGGCCAAACGGACACTCCTTTTTGGGGCACGCGGAGTACGTAACAAAGCCGTTGGGGGTTTCGAACATCGCAAGCACTGCGTAACCAGGAAGGTAGTGAGATGAGAAAGGGATAATAATGCGTAGCATATTTCATGGACTGCCCCTGAAGCAGGGACAGTCATTTGAAACGCCCCTGAATCCCAGCCCTCAGGGTGAGGCACTGTTAGCGTTCACCGGTTTTCCGCGTTCACGGGGCGCGACGGCGGGCGGTCGTCGCTCCCTCCCGTCAAGGTCTCTGTGCAGCGGCGGCCGCCCCCGCGTCCGGCTCGGTGTGGCTGTTCCCTCCCCGCCGGCGGGCACCGACCCGTGTCTGGCGTGGCGGGCCGCTGGCCCCGGTCTGTGACGGCCACCGCGCGCTCCGGCTCAGGCCGAGCTCACACCGGACACGTTGTCGCCAGAGCACGGCTAGTCCGCTCCGGCTTGTTGGTACGCCCGAGTGGCTTCCCAAAAAGCAGCCTGTTAGTGCCATAGCTGTGTCGTTCCTGGGAGCGAATCGGCTTAATTTCCCGGACGGCAGCCGATTGGACGCTCTTGCGCATTGTGAACTACTGGGCTTACTTAGCCGGGCTCACCAGGCTTCGGCAGCCGGCTCCTGGGCTGCTCCGGTGGACTAGATCGGGTGCAGGGCGCGATGTGCAACGCGGGGACGAACGTGGCTGCGGTCGGACTGAGGCCACGCCTCGGCCGCCAGCGGCGCGACGGCGCGGCTGTCGACCTGAGGGCCGTGCTCTTGTCCGGCCCGCCTCCTTCCCTCACTCTCTACTCCCCCCCCCCCTCCGAAGGTTACCCGCTGTCTGGTGGTCTCGCCGCCCGGTCAGCCGGTCCAGGGTGACCCGCTGTCTGGCCTGTCTCGTCGCCCGGTCAGCCGGTCCAGGGTGACCCGCAGTCTGGCTGTCTCGTCGCCCGGTCAGCCGGTCCGGGGTGACCCGCTGTCTGGCTGTCTCGCCGCCCGGTCAGCCGGTCCGGGGTGACCCGCTGTCTGGCTGTCTCGCCGCCCGGTCAGCCGGTCCGGGGTGACCCGCTGTCCGTCTGGTCCACTGTCCGGTCAGCCGCTCCAGGGTGACCCGCTGTCTGGCTGTCTCGTCGCCCGGTCAGCCGCTCCGGGGGTGACCCGCTGTCCGTCTGGTCTCGGTGCGCTGCCGGCGTGGGACGGCCGCAGCCCGGGTCGTGATCCGTGTCATGGCCCGTGAGCGCGCGTGCTCCGGTCCGGATGTGATGCAGCCAGGGTGGATGAACCGCTCCACCGGCCGGCCGGGACCGGTTTGTCAGGCCGGTCGGCAGGCTGGCCTGGGGCGGGCGGCGCGCGGCTGGCGGCCGGCCGGTCACGGGCCGGTCGGCGGCGGCCGCTGGCCTGGCTTGCTGGCCGCAGGGCACGTGGTCCGGCCGTCCAGGCGCGGCCGACGGCGCGCATGACACTGAAATGCCGGTCGTCCCTGATGACGAGCGACGCCCCGCGGTCCTCGCCGGCCGCCTCGGTCCGCGACCCCGGTCCTCACGGGGCTAGCCACCTGATTCGATCCGGTCATTCTCGAACATTCTCGGTCGCTTCCTCAGAGGCTAACTTGTTTTCAAGGTTTGTCTTGCTTTCCATTGTTTAGCTCATGCGATAATTCATTTTTGTGATCGTGTATAATGCTCAGACATGAGGTGAGGTTCCTGGAAAATGCTTCAATATAAAAAGTTGTAATGTTGCGGTCTGGGCGAGGAGAGGGCAGGTGCAAACAACTTATCCGGGATGGTAGCTGGGTTTCCACGTGGGAGCTCGGGTGCTTTGCTGGCTGGCTTCTCTCCTGGGGCTTTTGTGACAATCGCACGTCAGCGCTCCACAAAAGCTGGTGTGACGGCAGCGCAACTAGAGGCGAACCCGCCGGCCCTCGGATTCTTCTCCGCATATGGGAAGGGCCTCGTGCTGCGCAGTTGTAGTTGTTCCTTGTTTGAAAGATCGTGACGTCATGTCACGCCAGTCTGGGCTTTGTAAGTTCCATAGGAATTACGGGATACGATCTCATCTCAGATTTAGTTTGTGTTTTCCTGAAACCGAACACGACTCCCTAGGCTAATGATGACGTGACAAAAAGGATTGCAAGTAATCGGGGCTCCTTTTGGCATTTCCTTAGCATTTTTCTGTGGACGAAGCGAAGATATTCTCACGATTATAAGGGAGGTAAACGAATGACAGGCTGCTTTTCCTCGGATTTTGGTTCATGTTGGGACAGTTTACCGAGCAGCATGCATGCTTTAGTCTGTGGACCATTGTTCAAAAGCAGCAACATCACCAGTGACGTAGATTGCTTCTGATGGGGCCATCTTGTCCGATATGTCAGCAACTTGGTATGCTATGGGTCAAACCGATAAGTACTTTCGTTTGTATGCGTCGTTTTCGTTTTTAAATTCAGCATAAGTTTTGTTGTGCCCAGTGGGCCCAATTTTCGTATTATTATGCTACAGTTGGTAGTGTAACATACCCGTTACTGAAGTAGTGTTTAGATACCGTTAATGTCGCGTATTATTGTTAGATATACGTGATGCATCATATACCTAATGCAGAGCGCATCCAAGAGGGCGCCGGGAGTGTAGACCCCACTTATATATAGATAAGGGATAGATAGATAGTTTGATAACTGTAAATGTAAGTTAATTCTCGCGATCGACGTTGCTGACGTTTTTGACATAAGCTACGGCTACCTTTGATTGTTGAAGGCAACGGTGATGGTGATATCGGTTGGGCTTCACCGCCGTTGAATCAGAGGCTGTACGCCGCTGGCCGTCTCCGTCAACAGCGCGGTGTGTTTCGTCATGTTGCCAGTGCCCGTTCACGTCGTCATGTTGCCAGTACCCGTTCACGTCGTCATATTGCGTCACGTTGCTCTCGGAAGCGTTTGTTGCTTTTGCGCTGATGACCGATTGTTCGTTGAACGAGACGCGCCGCAGGGCCGATACCGGCTGGGGCTGAACACCAGGCGCCGGCGACGGGCAGGTAAACTGGCCCAATTTCTGGCCCGAGGCGGCCTTCAGCGCAGCGATCGCGGCTGGAGCCAAGTGTTGCGGCGACAGCCCGCATCTGCTATCAGCGCCTTGGCCAGGAGGCAATTGCCGGGCGCGGTGCACCCACTCACCGGGCTAGTTTGCGCTGCGGGCGGCTGATTGCGTGTGGCCCTGGCAGCTCGTGCACGCGGAAACGGACCGGACTTTTGTCCTGGCACAGGTCGCTCACGCCGTGGCGCGCGGACAATCATCGCTGTTGTCACACCTGTCGCTAATCAAAACATCGCTCTCTAGAGTCGCGTGTTATCGCACGCACAATCTGCCTTGCGAATTGAACGTGAGTGGTTTGGTTTTGTTTGTCCGACAGGAGTCCGTGGATTGGCTGCTGGTTAGCGATGACCCTGGGATGGCTTTGAAGCCGTTTTTGGTTGCTGAAGCAAAAGTGGCTTCTGTCAGCAAAGCGTCACATGTTAACCGCTGGCTGTCCTTTTGACTGCCTCGCAGTGATTGCGCAATTCGTATGCACGTTTTCTGAGCTAACCGAACACAGGCTGTCTGTCAGCGCCACCGAATTCCGCAATGTCTGTATCAAACACCGGTCGCCCACATCGCGCCACTGAGAAGCAAACTTTTCCTTACATTGTGTAATGTTGCCAGCTGCTGTTGCCACAAAGACCGACCATGCTCCGTGCTTGGGGCGGTACCGTGGATGGATCGTTCGGCCCCGCGGGCGCCCCGGCCGCCGTCGCCGCCGCCGCGAGGGCGGAACGGCCGCCCCTCCCCCCGCCCTGGCCGCTGCCGAATGACCGAGCCCAAGGTCGCGGCCCCACGGCCCGCCTGTTTTTGCCCGGGCGCTGGCAAGGCGGCCGGCTGCAGCGCGATCTGTCGGCGCGCACCATTCACAGCGTGGCTGAGGAGACGCTGCCGGTGGCGGGAGGGCAGCGCGGGCGGGTCGCTGCGGCCTCGGCGTCACGGTAGCCGCTCGCAGCGTGGCTCTTTGTCCTCGCATGTGTGCGGTGGCGTCGGACGCCGGACCGGCTGCCGACCGTCGAGTGTCGGTTAGACGGGGTGGGGACGGGACGGGACGGGCGGACAGACGGCTGACTCTCTGGCCGAGCAGCTAGGTTGGGCCGCTCTTGGCGACAGCTCTCCATGCTGCGGCCCGGCCGCCGCCGCCGCCGCCGTCGTGGCCTCCCGCCTGGCGGGCCGCCCGGCGCTGCACGTGACCTTGAGGCGGCCACCGCCGGCCGGCGCGCGCTGAGGTGACCACGGTCGGCCGGTGGCGCCGCGGTCGTCTCCGCTGTGTCAGGTGCCCCGAGGAGCGGCCGGCGCCGCGTCACGGCGTGGCTGTGACCCTCAGCGGGCCCTGCTTCCGCCGGGCCTGCTGTGCGGACGGCTCGTTCGCCGCGCACTCTGCGATCGAGCGGCGTCGCTCTGCGACAGCACAGCTCCAGGAATCGCGGCGCCGCGGCCGGTCCAACCGTTGATTGAAGTGACGTGCTGCGTTCGTGGGGTTCATGGGGAGCGCTTCCAGTACCTGACTTTGTTGCCTTACACGCAACGAAAACAAGTTCCGTGCACCGGTCGTTGTTTCGGGAACACTGGTCACGTATCGCTCCTGCAGTGACCAGGCTAGAATTTGATTTGGCCTGAGTCATGAGGACGGTGCCGTCGGCGGCCCACGTTGTTTTGTCACTCAGCTGTGCTGTGACGTCACGAGCGGGCGTGGCGTCGCCGAGGAGCCGGTTTTAGAGAGGCCCGATGGCTGCGGGCGGGGAAGTCTGTGACGTCATGAGGCGGGCGGCCTGCTCTTGGAAGTCGCTCCCCCGGGAGTTTCATCAGGGCCCACGTCTTTTTCGGCGACGTACTCACCTGTAGTTGTAATCTATGACGCGACGAAGGCTACGTCACACGCAAGCGGCTGTACTCCAAGGCGTAGGAACTGCTGTGACGCACTTACCTGTGACGACATAGGTTGGGGATGGCGCTTTGCGGTGTGGAGCGGGACGCAGGTGTACTCGCGAGATGGGTCCGGACTGGGCAAGTCGCTCATATATCCATATAGGACGTGAGGGATGTCCGTCATGTCCTTGGCAAAAGCCGCCTCCGAGGGTTGAGTGATGGCCCCAATTGTAAGCACACCTCCGCCGGGCGGGTCGAACTTTTCACCACAAATGATGCGGTGCGATTTGTTGAAGGGCGTGTGCCAACAGTCGGGGGCTTGTGCCGTTTTGAGTGATTTGTGATGTCGCATGACCATTCGCAATCGGTGCGCCTGAAATCCCTCCCCCTGGCCTCCCGTTCCTGGTGATTTGTGATACCGATGTACTTCGTGGCCCAAATAACGCTGTGAACACGGACGGACTCATGTGTACTCCAGCCGTCAATGATCTCAGCTCCATGTGTGTGTGTGCGTGCGTGCGCGTGCGCGCGCGCTCTGCACCTGACCACCGCCCGCGTGGCGTGTGTTGGCCGGCCGTCTCACCGCCCTGCGCCTCGCCGCCGCAGGAGGACGACCGGATGACGTTCCACCGGCATCCGGTGGCGCAGAGCACCGACTGCATCCGCGGCCTGGTCGGCTTCGAGCGGGGCCTGCACGTCTGGGAAATCCACTGGTCGAGTCGGCAGCGCGGCACGCACGCGGTCGTCGGCGTGGCTACGGCCGACGCGCCTCTCCACTCCACAGGTGCGTGCTACGGGAGAGTGTGGGGGGAGGGGTACTTGGTCATCCCGCATGCCGTAGTTGTGTGCGCTGCTGGGCGTGTGGGGATCGGGTACTTAACTTCTCCTGTTCGGGTGAGGTTCGCCGCGAGACGGAAGCTGCGGTAGACCGCAGTCGTGTCTGGCGTCTCGGACTCCCCCTCCGCACCTGGTTTTGAACTGGCGGCCGTAGGCCGGCTCATGGTCCCGCCCCGGGGCCGGATTCGGGCACGTGCGGCCCTCTCGGGGGCTGGCGCTCCGGAAGAAGGCGGCGGCAGCGGCGGTTTACCCGCCGTCAGGGCGCGACGCTAGCACGTCAACAGCAGCCGCTGGCGTGTGGTGAGCGAGTTGGTGGGCGCCTCCCTGTGGAGAAGACCGCCGGGCGGGCCGCCCCCGCCCCTGCTCACGGGACGGCCCGCTTCCGGCGCCGGCGGGGCGTGTTTGGGTCCCGCCAGATCGGGCCGCATTCCAGGCGTTCACGAGCGCGGCCCGGCATAAACGAAGCGGCGACAGTGTGACGTGCCGGGAGGACGCGCCAGCTGGCGCGCTGGCTGTCAGCTGAGCGTCCGTGTGTTTGGACGGCGCCACCGGCCGCAGGCCCGCGGTCCTCGGGGCCGCCGGGTGGGCTGGGTTACAGTGGAAACAAGCCTGGCCGTTGCGGCGCGCGAGGGGGCGGCCCCGCCCAGACGCCCATGTATTTGTCTTGCGGGGATCTCGGAGTCGCAGTCACGGCTGGCTGCGGTGGCTGGCGACTCGTTTCGTGTTTGGCAGCGGCCGGCGGCGGGGTATGACTGATGGCGCTCTGGGTGTGCGTGGTGCGTCAGGAAGGATCTTGGACTGCGTCATGAGCACGAACATTTCGCGAACGTGCTCCTGGCCGCCTGACGACATCGGCAGTGATGGCAGACGTCCACATTAGGCGTCCGTTTTGATGTTAACCATATCACTATTGGGGATGTCCTGCACAGCTGGGAACTGGAGAAACTCGGCTGTCAAATGTGTGTCGTGTGAAGTGTGTCTATTGCTGCCTACGCTGGTGGTGGTGTGTGCTTCTGGCTCGGTCTTGGGTCATTAGCAGACCCGCGACCCGTGCCGCTGACGATGACTGCCGCTCGGTCCGCCAGGCTACCAGAGTCTGGTGGGCGCCACGGAGAGCAGCTGGGGCTGGGACCTGGGCCGCAACAAGGTCTACCACAACTCCAAGAACAACGAGGGCGTGACGTATCCCAGCATCCTGAGTGACGCCGACCTCAACAGCACCTTCATGGTACCCGACAAGTTCAAAGGTGCGCTGGCCACCGCGTCGAGCGGTCGGAGGCGGGCGCCGCTGGCGAACCGCGCTCGATCGAAGCGCCGTCTATATCTCAGATGATGGATCTGGGCCCATGCATATGCCCTATCTGGAGTGTACGGTCGTGTTCTGCTATGGAATCGATGAACGCATAATGTCTCTATTCGAGGGGCGTCCATTTGTACAAGGCACACCCCGTCAGTTGGCGCGTTGCATCGTGTATGAAGAGTGAACGGTCCAAACAGCCGTTACCGTCGGCGTGCCAGTGTGACCGCCTCCGGTCACAAGGCGTGCCAATGTGACCGTCGACGAGCCTCACCGGCGGCCGCTGTGGGCCCCTCTGTGTGGTGACTGGGTGCCGCGGTGAGCCCTCCGTTAACCTCTTCCTCCCCCGTCGGCAGTGATACTGGACATGGACGAGGGCACGCTCGCCTTCATGGTGGACGGCCAGTACCTGGGCGTGGCCTTCCGCGGCCTCAAGGGCAAGAAGCTGTACCCGATCGTGTCGGCTGTGTGGGGCCACTGTGAGATCACCATGAAGTACATCAACGGCCTGAGCCGTGAGTAAAAGCCTGAGGCGCGGCGGAGGGCGTTCAGTCTGGACCGGACCGGACCGAACTGGACTGGACAGAACTGGACTGGACTGGACTGGACTGGGCTGGACTGGGCTGGGCTGGGCTGGGCTGGGCTGGGCTGGGCTGGGCTGGGCTGGGCTGGGCTGGGCTGGGCTGGGCTGGGCTGGGCTGGGCTGGGCTGGGCTGGGCTGGACTGGGCTGGACTGGACTGGACTGGACTGGACTGGACTGGACTGGACTGGACTGGACTGGACTGGGCTGGGCTGGACTGGACTGGACTGGACTGGACTGGACTGGACCGGACTGGACTGGACTGGACCGGACCGGACTGGACTGGACTGGACTGGACTGGACCGAACCGGATCAGACCGGACCGGACCGGACCGGACCGGGGCGGAGCAGGGCGGCCGGTCTCACTGGGTCTGTGACTGGACTCGGGACGATGCGCCACCATCTAACGTTCCGTGCTGGGTCGATGGCACGCAGCTTTCTCTCGTTTCTGTCAGTCACTGGCGGCTTGGTGCCACTACATTGCCCGCAGGTTCATGACGTTACTGGTTCTGGCGAACGTGTAAAGCTTGGAACATGCCTGGTCAAGTCAGTTTCTCTCATCGTGTCACGCTTGTCTCGCGTTTTCGCCGTATAGCCCGGCCTTTTCAGCCGGCTGGCGTGGGTAGACCGGCCCGTGCCGACCGTGGTGTGCGTCCTGCCGTGCCGGCGGACGCTAATCCGAGCTGACCTGTCCGTCCGTCTTGCAGCGGAGCCGCTGCCGCTGGCCGACCTGTGCCGACGGGCCATCCGCCAGCAGCTGGGCCGTCAGCGGCTCGGTCGCCTGAAGGAGCTGAACCTGCCGGCGGCCGTCAACAACTACCTGCTCTACAAGGACCGGCGGTGAGCGTGCTGCCGTCGCCGCCGCCGCCGCCGCCGCCCTTTCCGCCGCCGCCGCCACCGCCAGCGCCTCTTCCCCCTCCTCGCTCCCTCGGCCTGGCCTTCTCAGGTGGATCTCAGTTGGGGCTCTGGTGGACAGTGTGGGCGCGTGCCGCGGGAGTGCCGGTCGTTTTACGTTCGGATGCGTCTCGCGATTCTTCCACGCTTGTTTGAAACGACTTTTGCCCGCAAATGGGTTTTTATATCGGATGATTTTCACGGTCTTATCGAATGGATTGGTCAGTGTGTGGGGCGCCGCGAGGCAGCCTTTTATGCAGCCCTGATACTAGATCTGTTATTGTGTACCATTTGCGGCGAAGTGCTAGCGTAATTGTGCACGGGCGAGTTTGATACATAATGGGGTCTATCTGTTCATAGTTGGTGCGCGAGGCCGGGCTGGCGTGCCGGCCCAGCTGCCGTGAGCCATACTCTGTGTAGGATCTTGTGTTGTGATATATACCTTGTTTGCAATTGGGAGGCAGCGCCGCGCGGCCAGACGGCCGCCGGCTGGAGAGCGCGTCTCTTGCGCTTGTCCATCGGTATTTTACCCGCCCTGCTCAGCACCAGCGCCTGGGTTTCGGGCGGGCGCGGTCACCGCCCGCCGCCGCCGCCCTGTACATATCGTGTCGCGCAGCCAGCGGCCACCATCGGCCACCATCCGCCAGCGGCCGCCATCGGCCGCATCTGGGGCATTATGTGTCATACGTACGTGTACAAAGCGCCGGCCACCGGCACGTACGACACGCCTGTACAGCCTCAGTTTGTTCTGTTTGTATTGACAATAAACACCAAAACCCCGCTGCTGGTCTTTGAATGGCGCGGGGCGACCCCAGAGCGGGCGGACCGACGGCCGGCGCGCGCCGTCTGAGATCTGCCGCCCGGCGCCGCACTCAACACCGACCCCCACCCCGGGCCAGACCTACAGACGGCCAACACTGACGGCCGGCCGCGCCGGACACGGCCACACCGAGACACCTCGCGCCGTTCCACGCGCCGCGGGCACCGACGCCACGCAGGGCTCACTCGCCCCCAGCGGCCGCTCATGAACACAGACCTCTCGGGGAGCTCGTCCCGCTCCCAGCAGCGTCGCCGCGCTGGACGCCGCCGCCTGCTGGGCGATGCCACACTACATATTGCACATTCACGGATTCTTTGGCCGTCACATCTTTGGCTTATGTGGCCGGGTGAGCGGCGCCACCGGCCGCTACAGTTGGTCTGGTGAGCGGCGCCGGTCGTGCCGCCGTTCACTGCGTCCACGTCCAGCCGCTGACCGTGTCGGCTCCGACCTGTAGCGGAGGTGCCGGCGGCCGGGCACCGGTCGGCCCGACCCTGCCGGCGATGCAGGGCTGTGGAGTAGCAGCCGAGTAGAGCCTTCTATCATGAAAGCCGGAGAGGGCAGCTGGACGCGAGACGACCCTTGGCTAGTTCCGCCAGCGAACGTTACTTCCAGAGAAAACGGCTCGGGGCGATGGGCCTCATTGGCGATAAGAATCAGATTGTTGTCTACCGCCAAAGCCGGCACCTGCCAATGTCAGTTATTGTCGAATATGAACGCCTCGATAACGCTGCATGAAGCTAATGAAAATCGGACGATAATAGTCGGGATTAGCTTCTACGGCACATTAGAGTACAACGCGTGATCGGTGCTGACGAAACAGTGATCTGGAGGAGATCGCGTGTCCATCCGAATGTGGTGCAGAGTCGGGTCGTTTACCGGGGAATATCCTCGCCTCCTGGGAAGTGGTCGGGCCCTCACTGCCCCGGTATCCGAGCGCGTATTCACACAACTTCCTTGGCACGTGGGGTGCTTCTGCCGGGTTTGCGAGCGATGGTGCCGGCTTACACCTGAGCTGTCCTGTGTGAGATGCCCGGAGCGCAGCGCTGCGCATGTGCTGGACCGGCGCCTGTCACGGAACCTCTGATCCCCTGCGTTCGAGCCCTGCCAACTGTATGCTGCTACCCGCCCACGACCGGGGCCCCTGCCAGCGGCATGCTGCTGTACGACGTCACCCGGCTTCATTTGGGGCTTCCAAGGAGCGACCTGTCGCGTCTGACATCCTGCTGGTGCGTATTTTCAGGGTTCCTCGTAGCGATCCGTCTCTTGGCATCCAAATGATGCCCACTTCCGAGTGGTTCTGGACGTCCGACGAAATGTTTGATGACAAGAATTAAATGGTTGCTGCGGTATGGTGTTTTTTTCACGTGCGTTGGGTGTTCGAATGCCGTTGCTATGTGCTCCGACCCCGTGCGTTGTGGAGATTTCGACAGCTGAGAACCCCATCTGCAACGCTGACAGCAGCTATCTTGACCCCGGCCGGGCGGCCACCGACGCCTGGCGGCTACTCCACGCAGTGTCGCCTCGCCACCGCCGCGCTAGATGTCAGGCGCGCATTGGTCATCTCCACCGAGCCGCGCGTCCGCAGCAAATGGCGCGAGACGTCGATTGAGCCGTGCCGGCCGGCCTCGGCCAGAGAGCCGGCCCGCGCGCCCGCCGAGATGGTAGCTCTCTTCGACTCGGTCGAGGCCGACATGAAGGTGTACTGAGTGCCGATGCGGGTGAGCGAGCTACCTGGCTCGGCCTGCGCGCACTGGCAGCAGGGAAACAGGCGCCGCAGCAACGCGTCCAGCCACGGGAACCGACTGAAACGCATCCAGCGCAGAGTCAGACGCAGAATGAGAGTGAGCTGATAACCGGCTTGGACGCGCGAGGCACAGCTGCGGTCGGGAACCGACTGTAAGGCACCCGGCACAGGATTAGATGATATCCGGCTGAGATACGTGTGGCACAGAGACAGGCGAGAACTGGCAGGATTATATGATATCCGGCTGAGATACGTGTGGCACAGAGACAGGCGAGAACTGACAGCATTAGATGACAACCGGCTGAGATACGTGTCGCACAGAGACAGCCGAGAGCTGACAGCATTAGATGACAACCGGCTGAGATACGTGTGACACAGAGACAGCCGAGAGCTGACAGCATTAGATGATAACCGGCTGAGATACGTGTGACACAGAGACAGGCGAGAACTGACAGGATTAGATGACAACCGGCTGAGATACGTGTGACACAGAGACAGGCGAGAACTGACAGCATTAGATGATAACCGGCTGAGATACGTGTGACACAGAGACAGACGACAACTGACAGGATTAGATGATAACCGGCTGATATACGTGTGACACAGAGACAGGCGAGAACTGACAGGATTAGATGATAACCGGCTGAGATACGTGTGACACAGAGACAGGCGAGAACTGACAGGATTAGATGATAACCGGCTGAGATACGTGTGACACAGAGACAGGCGAGAACTGACAGCATTAGATGATAACCGGCTGAGATACGTGTGACACAGAGACAGGCGAGAACTGACAGGATTAGATGATAACCGGCTGAGATACGTGCGACACAGAGACAGGCGAGAACTGACAGCATTAGATGATAACCGGCTGAGATACGTGTGACACAGAGACAGGCGAGAACTGACAGTTATGCCTGGTGCAGAGTCGGTCGCGAACCGACCGAGACACGTTTGCATATTGTCGGCGGAAACTCGAAAGATTGCGGGGCGCGCAAGAAGCCCATAACAATTTGACGCAGAAAAGGCCAGAAAAATAATGCGACTTCGGGAAGACAGGTCGGAAAACCTGAAACCCAGGACGACGTTCCAAACAAACACAGGACGACGTCACAAACAACAAGGAAATGCGGACTTTCCCACCGATATTACTTGTGCAACGCTGAGTAACGCGGTTCCACACTTTTATTGAAATGGAAAGTTGGAGATGGAGCAGGACATACCACAAACATGAGACTCGATTGCGACCAATCCTGAGCTGAAATCACACAGATAACAAATATTGCTGAGAACAACCACAGCAAATGGAATAAAAGCGGACCCCGGGGCCATCAGGAAGCGTGTAGCCCGCCTGCTTTGCATAACTAACCGCTCATTGCGGAATTATGACATTGAGAGCACTAGACAAGATGAATCTGCATGTCAAGTCCAAACCGCTGAGTTGTACCCCAAACACTCCAAGTGATGGGTGAGGGAGGTGCACGATAAAAACGGCTTTGGCCAAAATCCCAGCACTCCGTGCAACTTTGGCCAGCACTGCAGTGTCAGACGATGCAGGCAACAAGCCACACAGGAGCACGAGCGAACACAAACGACTCATCCCCAAAACCACACGCAGGCTTTGGAGGAGGCGAGGGGCGGTGGGGGTGAGGGGGTGAGGGAGGACAGAACTGGCCGAACCACCGCACACAGCACAACGTTTACAGAATGTGACATACGGAGAGACGGCGCCCTCTAACGGCGGCGCAGGTGGCGCCACTGGCGGTGGGGAGGGCCTCCGCTCCAGCGTCCGTGGTCTCCTGCGTCCAAAGCAGCAACGCTATTTGCCATTTGTTCACTCCTCACATGGCGCTTTGGTGTCGATCAGCCTCCATCATGTATCTGCTTAGGTTGTTCCAACAGAGCAAAATTCATACCGTACTTCTGCACTTTACTACAAGTCATCAAAAGTTAAAATGTATTTTAGCTCCGCGCATTTGACTACCCGCCCAGAAACCCAAGGGAAATTTGAGGTAGACAGAGACGGAGTTCTAATTTACTAAGTTTGCTGCACTTTTAGTGAAAACTATGAAATAGGGCTGACGAGATGCATAACTTGGAACACCACTGGTCGAATGTCAAATGCCAGGCCGACTTTGTCTCGGCCCTCAGAGAAAACAGCGTTGCCAGCGTAAAGGGGGCGAAAAACGGCCGGCGATACCAATAAATTTTGCGTACAAGTACCCATGGCCTCATGGACGCAACGCAGCCCCAGTAGTTCAGAACATCTCGCGAGCGTTTAGTCGACCGAATCACAAAAGAAGGCATGTGCTCTGTCACAGTGGGCGATCTCGGGGTACGGGCGGCGTGTGTGAAGACGTACCGGAGGACGCGGCAAACGTCGCAGCCGGAGAAGATGCAGTAGATGATGGGGTTGGCCGCCGAGTTGAGCGGCGCCAGACTCTGGAAGAAGGTGCTCAGCGCCGCGATCGTCTGGTTCTTCGGCAACAAGTGGAACACGTGCAGCAGGTTGAAGATGAAGTACGGCGACCAGCACAGAATGAACACTGCAATACCAAAGGGGACGGGGAGTTATCAGATAGCTACTGAGTGAATCGAGTGCACTTGCCGTCCAAACCGAGGGACCAGCGACATCCTGGCCGGCATCAAGCCAAAGTTGAGCCGGCAAGCCAGCTGGACTGTCCAGGAGGAGCCCGGGCAGGTTGTGAGCAGGGGACGTCATCGGCGTCACCGCTGGTGACGTCACTACTGCCTCACCGCGACCCAGCTTACCCGACACGATGACGAATGTCATCTTGACCGTCTTGATCTTGGCCTTGGGTATGATGCCGCGGGAGCTGGCCCGCTTGGTGTCTCGGTCGCCGTCCGTGTAGGCTGCTCTTCTGCCTGAGCATGGGGCCGTAGGCCTTGTTATTTACGGTGTCGTGTGTGTTTACGCACGCATACGTGCATATGCCGCTGGGTTGATGGTGGGCTCTCGCTGAATGACAGTTGGATAAGAAATAAACCCTACAGTTTGGGGATCATCCTGCAAGCCAGAAAGGAGGCTCAAACGCAAAAAAACGATCCGGCGTTGGTCGCCGACCCCACGGGATAAAGGGGGGAGGGGGGTAGGGCGTACCTAGCTCCGCCCCCTCCTCCTTCTCCGAGCAGCAAGAGGTGGTGTGTGTCGCAGGCGTGTTTACAATCGGTCATTCATCGTCCTCCACTGAGGACTATGATGAAAGCACAGGTACAGCTGGTCTTACGTTTTACCTCCCGGGGGAATTCTGATAAATCAGGTTGATAGAGATCGAAGAGGAACACAAGACGAGAGGGCTGATGCCGCGCTGGAGACAGAGGGTGGGCGACAAAGTGGGCTACAGAGAGGCCACTTTGTCAAGTTAGCTGAAGGTTTACAGCTTTTGGCGAGCTCCAGGAACATGAAGGATTGGTTTTACACCAGCAGGGGACCTTCCGGGAAATACTGTTGAGAACGGCTTTCTGATTGGACTGTTACGACCATCAAGAGCCTTTCTTCGGTGACAAAAAGGGCGACGTTCACTGGTTTTTCTCTCCAAAAGAGCCTCACCGCTGAGTAGCGAGAAGCAACAAAGGGTGAGACGCGACGTGACCCGAATGCGCTACATTCCGATGACAGCGGCTGCTGACAATTCAATAACGAGCCGCCTCTGAGATGCCGGCTGCGTGCCTGTGATGGGCCGCGGAAGCGGTGCAATAGCCGCGCCCGCTCCAGACGTTTATTACTCACCGGCGGCGAGCTTCGACTTGTCGGCGGCGCTGCCCAGCTCCTGGCCCTTGCGCCAGATGGTGATGACGATGACGATGTAGCAGGCGGCGATGAGCACCGCCGGCAGGATGAACAGCGAGGTGGCCGTCACCGTCACGTAGATCTGCCAGTTGCGCGGTGTGCCCAGGTCAATCCAGCACTCAACTCGCTCTGAAACGGAAAACGGCCGAATGCCAAATGCATACCCACCTAGGCTTTTGAAAAGTTTGCTCCGCAGAGACGTGTGGCCTGAAAGCAGGAGGTGAGCTCCCAAAGACAGTGTGCCTAGATTCCAGCATCGTAACTGATCGCGCCGGGTACTGCCTGTGTGACCTCCGATACCCTGTCCGTCAGGATGTCACCGACGGAGTCAGCGCGGCACGCCACAGCCACTGACGGGTCACCGACGGCTGGGTGTTGACCCGATATGACGGGGGGTGTGATGGAGCGTCCTGGGTCAGCAGGCTCGACTCGTCCGGGCCATTTCTCGCTATGGCCCCGGGACTCCCAGGAGCGCAGTTCAGGCCGGCTGCGGTCTGTGTTGGCGCCCAATAAGTTCTCGGCGTAGGCGCTCTGTCTAACACTGTTGGGCTGGCTGAGTACCCATTACAAGATGATCGTTATTCGGGTGAGACACTCGGCCGACTCTGCCGGGCCGAGTCGGCTGGGGCCTCGGTCGGCTCTGCCAGGCCGAGTCGGCTGGGGCCTCGGTCGACTCTGCCGGGCCGAGTCGGCTGGGGCCTCGGTCGACTCTGCCAGGCCGAGTCGGCTAGGGCCTCAGCCAACTCTGCCGGGCCGAGTCGGCTGGGGCATGTTGTTAACAGGGCACAGCGTTGCTCCGACGGGCGTTCAATAATCGGCAGCTATCCAAATAATGGTGCCCAGGGCCGAATGAAACATCGGCGGTGGGTAAGACTGAACGTCAGGCCACATGGCAGCTGCCCTTGCGCCGATCCAGATTCCTCGCCGCAAGAAGACGACACACGTATAAACTGTCATGTCAAGACTAACGTCGGTTGCGTCGGTGATGGCAAAGCCGAGCCGCCGTCACAGGGGTGTCGGGTTATCAAGCCGGCCGGCGCCGGTGACATGGCAAAGCCGAGCCGCCGTCACAGGGGTGTCGGGTTATCAAACCGGCCGGCGCCGGTGACATGGCAAGCCGAGGCGCCGTCACGGGGGTGTCGGATTATCAAGCCGGCCGGCGCCGATGACATGGCAAAGCCGAGCCGCCGTCACAGGGGTGTCGGGTTATCAAACCGGCCGGCGCCGGTGACATGGCAAAGCCGAGGCGCCGTCACAGGGGTGTCGGATTATCAAGCCGGCCGGCGCCGGTGACATGGCAAAGCCGAGGCGCCGTCATAGGGGTGTCGGGTCACCAAGCCGGCCAGCGCCGGTGACATGGCAAAGCCGAGGCGCCGTCACAGGGGTGTCGGATTATCAAGCCGGCCGGCGCCGGTGACATGGCAAAGCCGAGGCGCCGTCACAGGGGTGTCGGGTCATCAAGCCGGCCGGCGCCGGTGACATGGCAAAGCCGAGCCGCCGTCACAGGGGTGTCGGGTTATCAAGCCGGCCGGCGCCGGTGACATGGCAAGCCGAGGCGCCGTCACAGGGGTGTCGGGTTATCAAGCCGGCCGGCGCTGGTGACATGGCATGCCGAGGCGCCGTCACAGGGGTGTCGGGTTGTCAAGCCGGCCGGCGCCGGTGACATGGCATGCCGAGGCGCCGTCACAGGGGTGTCGGGTTATCAAGCCGGCCGGCGCCGGTGACATGGCATGCCGAGGCGCCGTCACAGGGGTGTCGGGTTATCAAGCCGGCCGGCGCCGGTGACATGGCATGCCGAGGCGCCGTCACAGGGGTGTCGGGTTATCAAGCCGGCCGGCGCCAGTGACATGGCATGCCGAGGCGCCGTCACAGGGGTGTCGGGTTATCAAGCCGGCCGGCGCCGGTGACATGGCATGCCGAGGCACCGTCACAGGGGTGTCAGGTTGTCAAGCCGGCCGGCGCCGGTGACATGGCATGCGTGTCAGAACACGCACGGTGCACCGCTGAGAGGTGGAGCCTCGAAATGTCCGCGCAGGTCACTGTCAATGGCCTGGGAGTGCGGTGAACATTAATCATCAAGGCCATTATCATCCGAGAGCTGACCACTCATCGGCTCTAAGCATGCGTCGCATTTCAAAATAGGAAGGGGCCTTCTGTTTAACTCTGTTTTAGGGCATTTTCTAATGCGTGACATTTCCTTGACTTTACTGTAATGGCGTTGATGATTTCATTATCAAAGTAGATATAATTTCACAACATCGTAAATGCATTATGATTTCGCCATGTCGCAAGCCGAGATTCCAGGTAAGATCACTCACTATTTCAAAAGGTGCATCACTGTTGCAGATAGCGAGGTCAATTCGAACCGCTCATGTCGCTCATCTTTGCACGCTGTCTAAGAAGGGCTCAACAAACATGCTGCTTGAATGCACATTGCACGTGCTCTTGGATCTGTACCGATAGTCTAGCTAAATGCGGCTGAAGGATGCCAGTGAATGTGGGAGAAACGGAATGTGGACTTACAAGCGCCTGCAGTTCAGTATCGACGACAAGGCTAAATTATCCCGAAAGTTTTAACAAGCTGTGTTTGACTCTTGCCCATTTATCTGAAGAAATGTGTCGTTTTTGGACGCGACAGAAGACGGTGAGTTTTAGACCAACAGGTTTTCTATTTGCCAAACAGCATTTGTCTGTCCAGTCAAAAATATTGATGGCAGACATTAAATTTCAACCTTACAAAGCGAGATCACCTTACCTACGTGACCAGACAGAGGACATCATGGGCATGGACGAGCCGTTATTTTTTCTCGGCGACTTCAACCTTGACATTCTGAACCCAAACAAGATCGGTGTACAGCAGTACGTCACTGTCAAGTCCTTGGTTCGTTGGCACACACGATTAAACCAATCAAACGACGTAGTCTTCTCTGGACACGCGCACACCGTGCCGGCCTGGCGCATCCACCACTGACAGACAAGGTTGCCGTAATCGGCATATCGAACGGCAGGATGGGCTGCCCACACGTGACGTCACTAAACCCGAGTGCGAACACCACACTTCCCCCGGGTCGATCGGTAGGTCTTGACCTTCGGGTCGACCTCTAGCCTCTCCGGGCCCTCCGCTGACGGTTGCCTCGACGCGACGCCACCGTCCTGGGTTGGTCTGCAAATCGCACCTTCTTTGGAGCTGGTCTTGGTGCGACGTCACTGCGTGCGGGGGTCGGATCGCCCTGCGTGGCGTAAACGGGCAGGTACATACGAATGAACTGCCGGTTCCGCCACATGGTGCGACCGCTGGAGAACTTTACCAGGCAATCCCTTATTCTCCCGATGACCACGCATTCTCCCATTCTGTCCCCGAGTCCTGTCTCCTTGTCTTGTACACTCATTTCGTGCCGATTCGGGTCGGGTGCAGTGGCTTTGCTCCTTTGTCGTAGGCTGTAGTCGTCTCCCTCATCACATCCTCCTCCTTCCAGTCATAGTCCTCCGCAGCCTTCTGCAAAGCTTTGTCGAAGGCGCGATGGTGCATGGGGATTGCCGACCGAACTGGGTGCCCGTAGAGGATCTGGGCGGGTGAGCGTCCGTCCACCCGGGGCGTGTTCCGGATCTCCAGGATGCCTCGGGCGAACTCGTCGAAGTCCGTGTTGCTGGCCACAGACGTCTTTTGCAGGAGTCGTTTGACCAGCTTGACTGCTGATTCCGCGTGGCCATTCGACTGGGGGTAGTGTGGACTTGATAACACGTGTCTGACCCCCCAGCGCACGAGGAAGTCCCTGGTGTGGTGCGCCGTGAACTGTGGGCCTCCGTCGCTTCTCAGGACGTTTGGCACGCCTGTGGAAGGGAAGATCTCGCGCAGAGAGCAGACGAGGGTCCGGGACGTCGCTTCTCTTTTGCAGGAGGCGACGATGGGCCAGCCGGAGAGTCTGTCGGCGTACACGAGGAACGTCTTTCCTGCATGGTGGAAGAAGTCCGCCGACACGGACTGGGAGACTCTCGTCGGCTTGGGGTCGGTCATGAGCGGCTCCTTCTGCGGGCTGGGCAGTCTCTTATGGCAGCGGCGACGTGATGTCACGAAATTGTGGACGTGCTGGTCGATGTTAGGCCAGTACACCGACTGTCTGGTGCGCCGCTTTGTCCCGTCGACGCCTTGGTGACTGCCATGAAGGCGTTCGAGCACTTCACGTCGTAGGTCGTGCGGGATGACGAGCCGTGCTCCGCAGACAAGAAGGCCATCGTCGATGGATAGGCGCTCTCGGACGTTCCAGTAGGGATGAACCAGACTGGTGAGGTCTGCCCTGTGTTCGGGAAATCCTTGCATGACGGTCTCCGCCACCTTCTGGTATGCCTCGTCCGCGCCGGCAGCTTCTTTGACCTTCTCCAGCAGAGCGTCCTGGAACGGTGCAGATCCCGCTTCGTCTTCGCCGCCGTCGGTGAGGCGTGTCAGGAGGACACTGCGCGCCTGGTGCGTCACGTCGTGTTCACCTTCCCGGTCTTCAGTGCTCGGCTGATCGACGGGTGACCCTTGACTGCGCGTCTGGGAGCTGTTGAATCTTTCCAGCTTTCCAGACGGCTGTGAAGGTGTATGCCATGAGCTTCTCTCGTAGGCTTTCGAGCCTGGGGTTTTCTATCTCCGCCAGAGGCTTGGTGTTGCGGATGGACACCAAAGGTCTGTGGTCGGTGACAATGCTGAACTCTGCCATTCCAGCCAGATAGATGTGGCACTTGCGCACGGCCCAGGTCACCGCCAGCATCTCGAGCTCCACGACAGCGTAGCGTGATTCGACCTCAGACAAGAATGTGGAGCCACACTGGACCAGCTTCCACTCCAGGTCGTGACGCTGCAGCAGCGCGTAGCCCAGGCCTCGGAGTCGTGATACGTCCGTGTGGACTGCGGTTGGCAGTGACGGGTTGAAGTAGGCCAGGACCGGAGGGGTGACGAGAGTTACTTTGACGGCTTCGAACGCTGCCTGGTGCACCGATGCCCATGTCCACTGGTTCCGGGTCTCAGCAGGTCTCGTAGAGGCTCGGCTGTCCTGGCTGTGTCCGTCGAGAACGCTCCGAGCTGGTTGACCAGTCCCATGAAGCTCCTTAAGTCTGTGAGGTTCTCTGGAACGGGGAAGTCAGCGATA